TCCCTCTCTTGGTCCTTCTCTGTCCTCTGTCCCTCTCTCCTTCCCTCCCTTCCTCACCCCCTCCCTCACACACACCCCTCCCATCACACCTTCCTTCCCTTCCTCTGAGTCTCTAAAACCAGGTTCTTGGTCCTGCTACACAGTCTGCACCTCTTTCTCCCGCCCTGAGCAATAACAGTCCTGGCCCAGAGGTGGGAGGGCAGCAGGCGGATGGTGATTTAAGAGGGAACTTGAAATGCACGGCTATAATGTTGGTGAAATATTACACCGACTGCATCCACATCCATCACCCGGTGCTTATCTTTCCTCATGCTGGCTCCTTCGCTCGAGTCACATTTTTCCTCTGTGTGCCTGCCCCTCCCCACCGGCCTCTTGGCTCTTCTTGGGCTCCTTTATTTTCATTTTCTCCGTTGTTCATCCATCCATCCAACAAGCACTGAGGAAGCACCTCGGTGTAGAGCGTGTTCATCGTCACAAGCCCAGGGCAGGGCCACTACATGACAGGGAAGGGACTTGGCTGCTGCAGGTCTCACCTCAGGCACCTGCTTCCAACTCCCGCCCTGCAGCGCGCTGCACCTGCGACTCTCTCCTCTCCTGTTCCCCTCCCCCACACTCGGGCAAGAGAGCATCCAGATGCACAGCCTGAGGTGGCGACACTCCAGCTCCCAGCATCCCGCAGAGCTTAGCTCCCAGCTTGATGTTTTACTTCAGACTCTTTGGAGGACATACCTGTCCGGGTCACCTAGGTCCCAATACAACGGCATCGTGAGCTAGCTAACCTAGCACCTTAGACTACACACAGACACACTCTCCCCTGAGGCCAACCCCGTCCCAGCCCCTGAGTGGACATAGAGGAAGAGCAGGGGACACCAGTCCCAGTCCCCTCCACCCAAGCCTGGTCCCACGCTTGCACTCAACAGCCTGGGTTTGATTCATTTTTCATAAATCGTGAGGATTGCAGAAAGCCTGGGGGTGGTGTGGAAGTATTTTAGATCCTTCTGTGTTTGCCTAAAGAATGACCAGTCTCCGTGCCAGTTGGCAAGTGAAAATGGAAGGGCTCATAATTTGGCCAGCCTGAAGTATATTTCCAAAGATAATTACAATAATAATGAAAGGCCACAGTGCACGGTCACAGAACAGAAATCCAAGTCCAAGCTCAGTGAATCTTCAAGCAGAAACAGACCTTCAAAGGTCAGCCAGTTCCTGCTCCAGACCGCAGACAGTTCAACCTTTAAGCTACCCCAGATGGACGGCATACCTGTCGGCTCACCAACAGACCTTGACCGCACTCAGCAAGTTCCAACTTCATTAAGCCAGAGCGCTCCAAGCAGCATCCCCCACCGCTGGCTCTGTGGTCGGTCTGCGGGGCGGACCTTATGGGGCCTGACAACTGGTGTTCTCAACTCCACTCACAAACCCGTGGCCCAGATGTTTCTCCAGCACCTTAGCTGTTGTTCCTGACTGGTTCTGACTCACAGAGCCTTTCAGACGTTCAACATAATTGTAACCCATCACCCAGCAAAGGTGTCTACCTGTGCCTTTAGTTGGCATGTTATAAACCACTTCTGGGGGTCCAAAGCTCCCCTTGGCCCTGCCCTTGAGTGAATCTGTGACTGTTCACCTGGAGTTGAGGTCTGGCCCCTGTGTCCGCATCTGACCGCTCTCTCCTCTCCTTCTGCAGAAGTGATTCAGCTGAGCCTCGCCCCTGAGGACAAGGTCAGTGTGACCACAGTGACCGTGGGGCTGAGCACAGTGCTGACCTGTGCTATTCGTGGAGACCTGAGGCCACCGATCATCTGGAAGCGCAATGGGCTCACTCTGAGCTTCCTGGGCCTGGAAGACATCAATGTAAGTCACCGGCACTCATTCTGAGTGCAAGGGATGTCCTGGGAATGCCAATGTGCAGGACACCGTGTGGCAGTAGTGGCAGAGGCCTTCCATTTAACAGGTCCACGCTCAGCCTGACAGCTTTAGCGGACCCAAGTCCTTGCATGTACAGAGGGCAAGATGGATGACAGTCATCAACCTGATAGTTATGTCCAGTCAAAGGAGAGCGGTTACTGACCAGGAGGCACCCGGCCAGGGCAGGTGGCCTAAAGGCCTAAAACAGGCCCTAAGCCTGGGATCTGGAGAGAAACAGGTTGTGTGAGCCCAGTCTCATCCCTCACAGGGATGAGCCACACGCTGCCAGAGAGCACAGCCAGGCTGAGAGAAAAGCTGGCCAGGGGCTGCAAGGAGGAGGGCCCAGCCGTATAGCTGGGGACAGTATGGACGTTGGGCTGTCCCTGCAGAAGGCAGTTGAGCAAGGTGGCTGGGTGGATGGAGGACAAACGACAGATGAGGAGGTAGAAGGGAGCCAAGTAAGGCCAGCAGAGGCTCACTTTAAGGACCTTCTTTTGGGGGTAAGGAGATGCAGATTCAAGGAATTTCCAGCCACCTCCCCCCACAGATGGACATAGAGGTTATTCAGTCACAAGTAGCCCTGACTTAGCATGGAACTAATCACAGTGTCCAAAGGGCATTTACAAACTGATGCCAACCATGAGAACTTCTATACACACAAACCCATACACCCAGCACCCCACGTGCGTGTATACACACACACACACACACACACACACACACACACACACACACTCCTCATCAGAGAGTAGGTGGGTGAATTTACACAGCCTGATGTGACCAACAGGGAATAATACTTCTGGACCCTGAAGAACCTGTCAGCTACTTCTATACCAGCTTTGTGACATTGAGTAATTCCTTGGCCTGCTGATCCCTAGTAAATTTATCTTTAAGAAAGCGACCTGGGCTGCCCCTCCCTTCCACTGAACTGCAAGAAGACATGGACTAATTCAAATATAACAATTGGTCTAGCTTTGGCAAAGGGTAGCGGTGGCTGTCCAGACATTTCATGAGAGAAGTCAGCAATGCCACCCATGTTGGTGAGATACAGGGGCAGCTATGGGTCTTGGGCTAAAATAACGGAAGTAGAGTTTCCAAGCAGAGGAGGCTACACTGGTCTCCTAGACTCCGGATGAACAGTAGGTCCACAATGGGATGCTCACATCAGAGAAGATGACTCATGGGATGAATGGTCAGATCCTGGCCACCTATAAGTGAAAGGAGATGATCTAAGCCATGTGACCACCAAGGAAACCAATCTGAGCTCCTCAGATGGGGCACCATTGTTGCTACTGAGCCTGCCTCATGGTAGATTGAGCCTCCCATCCCTAGGGACGTGCAAGCACAAGCAGGGACCATGGGCAGCAATGCTGACAGTCTCCAGATGGCGGCTAAACTCATGATGTGAAGCTGCTTCCAGGGCTGAGACTATCATGGTGTACACAGTCCAGCCCAAAGTATAGGCACCATTAGAGTTGAGATTCAAGACCCAAGGCCCCTTTAGGTGGAGCCTCAGATCACAGGGAAAGCAGCTAGAAAAAGTGACCACTCTACAGTGTGTAACCTGGCAGATCTGGCTGGGGAATGTCCTCAACCCTCTTGTCACACCAGGCAGTATTGTTTCCCTAAGACTTCCCCCTTTGTGGGATGGACAGCCAGTCTCCTCTCCCATCCATCTCAGAATGTCAGTGAAGCCTGCCCTGGGGGTGCCTGATAGACACTTCTTGAGTAGACTCCTTCATCCTCTAGACCTGAGATGGCTAGGCCTTGCTAGAGACCATAGCAAGAAAGTCCAGTGTGTGTGTGTGTGTGTGTGTGTGTGTGTGTGTGTGTGTGTGTGTGTGTATTTATGTGTGTACATGTGTGTGTTGAGTATGAGCGTGTATATGTGTGCATGTGTGTGGGTTGGGTATGCCGGCTTGTGTATACAGAGCCTCTCATAATTGGCATCCATTTGCAAATGCCTTTGGCCGCCGTGATTGTCACCTCACTGGACCGGGGCCACCGGTGACTGACTAACCTCCCCAGCATTATTTGGTGCTCCATTTAAACACATCGGAAATAAAAGCAGAGGCAAACTCCTCAGCGCACTTGCCATCGGTTAATTAAATTACTCAAACATGCCTCCAGCACCAACTCGATTGCATTTCTCCTTTTCAAATCAGGTTAGCAATTTGGATAATTGTGGGTGCAACCAGAGATTAATGGCCCCTCGTTACCTCTCTGGAAACACTTGCTCATGGTTGAATCAGTAGCCTGCAAATAGGCAGGGTCAGGTCTTTGCTTCTCAGAAGCCCCAGACACAGGTGCAGGGCAGCATCTGCTCTACAGGGGTCCTTGCTGCATGCAAAAACACACATGCAATGCCCATGCTGCCTCCTCCACATCAGGGAGAGGGAGCACCACCTGCTAATGAAGAACATAGGTTGTGGGTTCAAAGAGGCCTAGGTTCAAGTCTCAGCTCTGACACTTTGTTGAGTAACCTTGGAAAGGACCCTTGACCTTTATAAGTCTCAATTTTCCTCATCTATGAAATGAGCTAAATTAGAGAGAGCACCTGCCTTATAGATTTACAGTAAAGAAATGCACGTAACATTCTTGACATAGACTATTCTATGAATGCCATTATCATCTTCATTATTATTATTATTATTATTATTATTATTATTATTATTACTGAATGAAGAAAAAATAAAAAGGAAGGGACATGACTGCTCCTAGGTATGTTAGAGGAGAAAGTTTATTGTAGATAAAAGGGAGAGCATAGCCAGAGGCAGGAACATCTGGGAGAGTCCAGAGTGGCCATGCCCCTGAGCTATGTGAGGAGGGGTTGTGGGGAGAGGGGACAGAGGGGAACCAGGTGCGGCAGCCAGGAGGCCCAAAGAGGAGGAGTAACCAAAATGGTTGAATTATATGGGGAAGGGAAGCTGGGGGAAGGGATGCCTAGCCCCTGGGCTGGAGAATTTTAGGGTAGAGGGTGGGGTACACCAACCAGGAGGACCCTGTAACAAGTAGGGACTGAGGGATGCTGGGAGAACCTAGTGGCCAGTGTCCACTTGGATTTGTTAAATAAGCACTTCAGCCATTTGTCCCAGGATTTGAAACTTAACATTCTACCCTCATTAACATTAAGCTGACCATGTGTGGGAAAGACCCAGCTCAGTGTGGGATACCCAGAAGGTTTGCAGCAGCAGCCTCCCTCCCTCCCAGGACACCAAGGAGGACACTTCCAGGAGTAAGTCGAGCCAAAGAGGGCAATAGCTGGGTCCCCAGAAGGCCCAGGGTATTTATGAAGCAAGAACTGGTCAGGGGAGAACAGCCCAGGAGGAGCAAAGACCTGAGGTTCTGGGGGTCTTTGGCTGTCTCAGCACCCCTCACCCCACCACCATGAGCGCTGAAATACAATCAACGCAGCTGTGATTAATGCCTGGTACCGAAACATGGCTTCCAACCAGGGAAATGGATCAGCCTTCCAAGCCCGAGGCAGGGAGATTAGAAAACACAAAAAGGTGTGGGTCTCCTTTCTTTGTCATTTGTATGAGACATCTTGATTGGCAAGAAAATATTAATCACTTTTTCTCTACTCTCTTAATGAGACGCTTTCATGGGCAACAAAATATTAATTTGTCTTGTCTTATCTGTTAAGAATTCTGTTAATGAATTCAGTCACAGAGCTATTAGAGAATGCCATCCTAATGACACATGTAATTAAACTTTTCTGACTTGCAAACATCAAAGATGCCTTGAGCATCAGAATAATATTTGATCAGAAAGTCAATGTTCCCCTCTAGCCCGGAGGCAAGCGAGGAGCCGCCTGTGTTCTGTGGAGAGCGAACACTTCTGTCAGAAGCACCGAGCTTGCCAGTCATCATTTCTGCATTGATTTGCTTACTAAGTGCCACAAAAGCTCCACGCTGGGGTCCAGAGCAAAGACACTGTTCCCAGCACACAGGGGGAGGCAAGACTTCCACAAACACCTGTTGGAAGGGCTGCAGAAAGGAGCCGTACTCACTGGGGCTTCCTGTGACCAGGACAAGCAAGGGAGAGCAGTGGAAAGGCCGCAGTTGGGAACAGACCCCAAAGGGCTTTGAATAGCAATGTTACAGCCTTTGCTGTTTCCCCATAGACTCAGGGGAACTACTGAGTTTTGATCAAGAAGCAATGTGGTCGAATGTAGCTGTTACACAGGACCAGAGACCCTCCTCACCTGAAGTTGAACGTGTCTCCAAGAAGAGCCCCAGGGAACATGGGGCCCAGAACAAAAGGGAGGTCCACAGCTGCTCCCAAGCCTTGTCCCTCTCTAAGTTGGCCTAGAGCACAGTCAGAGTGGCCATGGTGTCTCCTGACCAAAGTTTCCTCCATATGGCTATGGTACCATTCACGGCACTTTTCACCTGGTCAGAAAGTCCAACCGGGACCCTTCAGAGCCTCCTGAGGATGCCCACACCAGTACTTCACACGCACATGACTTCTGCTTCACCAGCTCATAACAGCAGAAACTGCGCCCCCCCCCCAAGAAGGTCCCCACTCCCAGAAGAGGCCGCTGTGCAGGGTGCTAGCAAGAGCACCCCTCGCAGAGGCTCCTGGGTCACAATATGCCTCCTTCTGTCAGCCTGAAGAGAAATCAATGGTTTCAATGGTTTCCACTCCAACCCACGGTCCCTGGAGCCAAAAAACGTGCAGCTGTAATTGAGTTACTTCCTGGCCGCCTATTGGCTTCTTGACTCAAGCAGCCATCGTTCTCAGTGTGTCTAGATCCGACCCTGTGCTCACTCCAGCCCTGGGGGAACTACGGCCACAGTCACTGACCTAGAAACCGTCTTCTTTAGTCAGGGTGCCCTAGGAGTGTGTTCACACCAGCGTTGTCTGATAGAGGAAGAAGATGAGACCCTGGTCCCCCAGCCCATGCCATGGTGCCCCTCAGACCATCCCACTGTGGGCACCAG